AGCAATGGCCACTCCCATGTCTTTGTTCTCCAGTGTCAGCCTCAGGCACCCACTCACCGGTCCTACCTCCCTGTTTCCCTAGTATCCCGGACCCCACGCATGCACTCTGTCTGCGCTCTGGTCCGGAATCCTGGGGCTGGGTGTTCAGCAGTCCTGGGCTCCTTCTCCCTCCCTGCTGACTCCTCTCCTGCCACCGGGAGCTGGGGGGAGCAGCGCTCGGGTCCCGCCAGGCTGGGGCTTGTATCTTACCCCCTTCAGGAGGTGCTGGGTTCTCTCAGGTGTGGATGTTGTCTGGATGTTGTCCTGTGTCCTCTGGTCTCTATTTTAGGAAGAGTTGTCTTTGTTATATTTTCATAGATATATGTGGTTTTGGGAGGAGATTTCTGCTGCTCTACTCACGCCACCATCTTGGCTCTGCCCCACAATATTTTTTTAAGCAAAAGTTTTTTTTACCTACTGTAATTAGCAAATCCAAGTAAATTATTTTTGCTTTACCCTCTTTCAGGAGGAAATTTGAGAAGTCTGGACTCAAAACAGAAAAGCTGAATTTACTTTCACAGATGGTACACCTGTAATACATGGAAAAAATAGGTTTCATGAGTGCGTTGAATTTAAAAAAATATTCCTACCTTCCATTGCATCATTCAGCAGAGAATCTATATTACAAATTTTGCAGTCAGGTTCATGGAATAATGTAATGGAGGAACTGATTCTAACTCAATTTTCTTCTTGATTGTGCTATTAGCCATCACCAGTTTTATTGGTTATTTGGAAGATATTAAACCTGAATATGGGGACTTAACTCATTTTAATACAGTTAGGTGACTGGGTTGTGAAAACTTATTAGTATAATTGAGCTGCTTCTTCAGATCAAGGCTTAAAAAATTTTTTTAAGTGTTTTGAGAGTAAAGGGGTTGTCAGATCCTCGCTGGTTCACAATACTGTTGTTGATATGACAGGATATCTGAATCCTACCACATTGGTTTAGAAACTGCAGTGGGAAAATGTGATCATTTACTTAGAGATGTGTAGTCCTTTCCATTACAATGTGACAAGAGGCTTGAGTAAATGGTACTTGGGGATTATGCTTATTTCCATTGGCAACTGCTCTAATATAAGCAGAAGCCCCTGATGTTTAATATTGGTAGAAATTAAGATACAATTTCAGAAAAGAAATACAGATTTTGATGCATATGAACAATACTTTGTGTTTCCATGGTTTTAAATGCAAAACCTGAGGCTGCGACTAAATGCCAAGGAAATGGCCCCATCAGTGTGGTTGGATTTCAGGAAGGCCTGAAAGGGGCTGAAAGCAAACTGCTCACCAGGGGATTGGGGCAGTACTGCTCATTCAGGGTCTGTGGACTGGTGCTGCCTGAGACTCTTATCAGTCCGCATCAAGATGAGTTCAGAAATCAAGAGAAAGCATTTAGAAACCTTATGGTAATTTGACTGTATGTTTATATCTCTTTAATTTAATAATGAAAAAATTGGGCTTGTATTATGTATATCTTTTATTTCATTTTCTAGTAATTCATCTTTATTGTATGTTGCAAAAGTTGTGTGTCTGAAATGGATTAGGGGAGAAAAACGAACCAGGTGCTTCATCACAGATAGCTTGGAAAGCATTAAGTTAGAGTCTCCGAAGTGTGAGGCCTCTGGAATTAGATATATGAATCTGAAGATTAGAAATTCCTGGCAATTTGGCTAGCCAAATTCTAGCCAATACTTAAAGTCCACCTGATTCTATGAAATACACATTGTTATATAGCTAAAACTTAAACATGAAATGCCTATTTTAGAAAAACTAACAAGGGTACTATACTTTCTGAGGGTAACTGAGCTGATCTACTACTGTTATTAATTAAAATACCCTTCCCAGCTGTGCCTAGTAGGACAAAATTTGGCCACCCATATTGTAGCACAGTGCCTTCTACCTAGGAGATCCTTAAAGTATTTATTGAATTCAGTTGATTTCTCCTGAGAGCTAACAGAAACTAGGTAGTTCACTTCAGAAAGTTAAAGTAATTTTAATATACAGCCCACCAAATGTTATCTGCCTTGTAGTGCTCTATTAGACGCTTGCCAGTCAGAACTTTGTTTGCAAATATATTACTGAGGTGCCACTAGCAAGATAGCAGATTTATGAGTGCCTAAGTTGTTTTATTCAGTTCATAGTTTTAATAAGTTCCTTGAAAAAATCCTATAGATGATTGTTAATAACTCTATTCCAGTACTGCAATTACTTAAAGAAGTTACCCTGAAAATCTATTTTCCAAAGTAGGTATTATTGTACTTTAAGAAATTTTTAAAACTTGGCCGATATAAGAAAAGAATCAGCCATGTGGCAATAATAGCATTGTGTCATATTGTCAACTTTCATTTTGGATTTGCAAAATTGAAATATAATTATGAATAACAAAATAAATGCATGTACTATACAACAGTATGCTGCGATGTGCTTTTGACATAATGGAAACAATTACTAATAAAATAAGGTGTTTTATTTGGAAGAGAGAATTTGTTTTTGGCAGTGGCTTTCCAATTCTGACAATTTTAAAAGTGACTATGTTGGTGGATAAAATAGTAATGGAAAAAATATATACAATCTTTGTGCTTAGAACACATACATTGTCAAAGTTTTTACACGCAAAAGTTAAGCAGGACCCACATTATTAAAACTATCTCATTCTGAAGCAGAGGAAATATAATATTTTATTTAGTTTATCACTTCCATTAGGCAAAAAATTTCATTTTAACCCCAAACAGTCATTCTGTCCTTACTGACTCTGCCTTTATTTTTATGAAATATATGCATGTAAGGCTTTGGGAAGTTTACCATGTGTAGTATGTTATATTTACTGATGTGTCATTTAAGTGTTATGCTATATTTTCATGTGTTCTGTTTTCCAGCTAAGTGTAATAACAGGGTCCTTTAAGAGTACGTTCCATTCTATTTTCTTATTTTTTCCTTCCAGAGATTATAGCACTGTGTTCTATTTATAGAGGATTTACTGTCGACTAATTGAGAGTTGAAAATCTACATTGTCATCTATAGGTAGCAAAATTAGAGAATAATATTGACATGTTTTAAGATGTCTTAGAGCAATATTGTATTTATATTTTTGCAGGAAGATTCTTTGGCAACAGATGGTTTCCTTGTGGACTACTTTAATGAATTCCTAAGCCTTCCAGTGAGTATATTATGTTCTATGAAATATATTAGTAAAGCAAAATGTTATAATCATAGAATTATCCTGTGAGACAAATTAATTAGAAGTAATATTTTAAAAATATTTTAAAAATATTAATTAAAGCATTTAGATAAAGTTTATGTCTTTTTATGGAGTTAATCCTTTGCATTTAAGTCATATTTAGGAATCAGTCATATTGAAAAAAGTTGGGTAAATTATAGCACAATAAAAACAAAAGGGAAAAAAAAGAAAGCTGGGATTTTTCCACCATCAAAAGCATTCTCTACAAAACCTGGTACAGTTGTATTTGGCATCACTTCAGTCTGAGCAGAGGTGATACAGATAGAATGACAAAAATTTTAAGAAACTAAATTTTTTGCCTCTAGGCAATTACTGTCATCCCGTTGGACAGATACTAAAGTGGAATTTGTGTTTAAATCAGCTAGAGTTTTATGTCAATAGTAAATAAGACAGGTGGATGTCAAATGATAGCTTTTCAGCCTTAGACTGCAGTAACTGATGTGGGGGTGCATAAAAGCACTTATACTGTTGTATGTAAATAAAGTTTATCAGGAATGTCAGAGAAAAGAAAGATAAGAAGAGGTTTTCATTGTTGTTATGAAAATCTGAAAACTTTTTTCATCACCATGTTTACCAGGGAAAATTTGGAATATAAAAACAAGTCACAAGTATTGTTAAAGGGAGTGGATCATAAAATGTGAAATCTCGCAAAGCCTAACCCCTGAAAATGTCTTTGGAAAGGAAATTACTAGTTGTACTTTCTCTTGCCTAGATTAGTGTTTGTATATATGTGTCTGTGTATGCATTTTGTTGTTTTGTGATATTTTCTTTTATCCAAAAGAATTTGTGCTGTTTCCTCCATTTGGCATAGCTAGGTCTTTGGGACCATTGTGGGGGTCAAGTTGAGAGGCCAAACTACTCTCTCGCTTTCCAGTTAATGGGCCTGAGTAACATTACAGGATATTATAGAAACCAGTAGGTTCTCGTTTGATCTGTCTCTTCAACTTTCTCCATCCACTTGTATGTTATAAAAAACTGAGCAGTATCACAAAATTGTCAGAATCTTGCTCTTCCAGATTATGTAGTCTTCCCTGTAGGCTCTGCCTTCTCCTTTCTTCCTTCAAGAGAAGTATGTTTTCATGACTTTTTAAAAAGAAAGATCTTTATATTGGGGTCTGATTGCAGTTTCTCAAGATTTATATTTCATTGTTTTAAGATTTGTCATTATCTTGACTTTTACTTGCTCCAGAAAATAAATTTCCCTGCCTAACTTTCTTTTTTTCATTTTAATTTTTAATTTTAGAAGTAATATAATAATAGCATAGAAAATTTACTAAAATGTGAGAAAAATTCAGCCATAGTCCTGCCATCCAGTCAGAGTAGATGTTACATTTTTGTGTGTTTTCTTTCCAGCAAGACCCTCGGTAAAAAGCCAGTGTGATTTCTGTTGAACTCCCTGCAGTCCTGTATTCATCCCACCCGAGCAGATACCTGCAGTTTGACCCTTTCATGTGTCTCATGTGCCCACTGGAACCGAATCTGCCCTCTTTTCTGTCTTTAAATTCTACCTTTATAGTCTTCCTCATTTTTCTCTGTTTTTTTGTTTTTGGGTTTTTTTTTTAGCTCCTTTGCCTCTACATTTGGTACCACACTGTATTACTAACTACCCAAGCTTCACACCCCAAAATGGGAGAAGGGAAAATATTGTCACAGGTTTCCAAAAAAATTTGGGAGGTAGGAAGGAGAAGGAATGATGAATTCTCAAACTAAGTTCCTGGCAAAATTCTAAAACAGATTACTAATGTTTAGTTTATGAGGACTTAGCTAAGAATTAGAATCCAGCATGGGCTCACTGAGAATAAGTGTGCCAAACTAATCTTTTTTTGGATAGTTATGAATTGGTATTTTGGGGAACCATAAATTTAATGTATTATTATAATTTCAAAAGTAGTAGTAGTAATAATAATAATAATAATAATAATAATAATAATAATAATTTGAATCATGTTACTTCTCGCTTAAAATCCTGTCCAGGAACTTCTCATTACACTTAAGAATCAAATCCAAAATACTATGTGATCTGGATTTTGCTATCACTCAGTCTTTATTTCCTATACCTCTTTCTTCGTTAATTATTTTCTAGCCTAACCGGCTTTCTTCATGTTTCTTAAGCATGAATATGCCAAGTTTGTTCAAAGCCTTTCAGCCTGAAGTGCTCTTCCCTGAAATATTGATATCACTTTCTCTGATTTAAGCCTTCCGTCCCAACCCTAGTTAAAACAATGCACCCAACACATTCTCCACTTAAGCTGCTTTATTGGTCTCCAAAGCCCTTATCTTTATGAAATTATTTTTCAGATATTTGAATGGGTTCACTAACCATAGCTGGTAGGGGTTGACTCTTAATAGCCTATAGATTGAAATTCACATTCCTTAGTATGAAATTCCAAACCCTTTGTAATTTGGCCCCAACCTAACCTTCCTAGCTTTATCTCCAGCTTCCTATTTCTTGTGTCACCCTGCATAGTCTTTCCTGCCTCCCCGAACCCTCCCCACCCACCTTGACTACACGTATTCTTTCTCTGCACATTTCCCAGTGTAATGGCTAGTGACAGTAAAGAGACTGAACTGTGTCTGAGCCCAGCTCCTCTACTCATGATCTATGTGATCTTAAGCCCATTAATTAATTAATTAATTCCTCATTTTCATACAAAATTGTTATGAAATGAGATAATGTATATTAAATGCCTGGCCCAGAATTAGTGCTTTTCCTTTTCCTTCACTAACTAGGTCATCTTGTCTTCCATTCCTAAAACATGAGGGGCAATCACTCCTTAGTTAGATCAGTGGGTTATTGTCAGTGTGGAGACTAATCTTTTGTACCACACAAATACATCATAGCTTTGACTTTGAAAAATCATTTTTACCAAGAACTTGGATGAAATGTTGTCAAGTGAACCAGTGTTTTTCCAGCTTAAGGTCACTCAGCTAGAAATGACAGGGTCCACCCAGGTCCACGTAGCTCAGAAACTTGTCCTAAACTGGAATGATTATAAAACTGGCAGCAGAGGAATAAACTGATCATTTGGATAACAGAATCTGGTCTCATATTTGTCATGGTAGTCTAAAATGGGCTTAAACAAAGCTAAAATATTTTTAGGGTGCATTCATAGAAGTATAATTAAAATCAAGGAAAATATTAGTCTAGAGCATAGAAGGCACTCAATAAATGTTTTTTGAATTGTATTGAATTGTCAGACCACATTTGAAATAGTGTGTTCCATTCTTGATGCCATATGTTAAGAATTGCTCTGCCAAACCAGACTTGAGGAAACTCAGCCAACTAATGCTCTGGAAATCATGTCAGATGAGGAAGGGTTTAAAAAAGTGTGGGTATTGAACCTGTCTGGGGAATGAGTAGAAGGGCTGGAATGGACCAGCTCTTTCCAAATATTTGAAGAGCTGATTGAGGAAGATGGGTTAACATATTCTTTGAAGCCACGGGGCAGAATGAGGGCCAGCATTTAAGAGGAAATTGATTTTCACTCACTAGAAGAAACTCTATTAAAGTTAGTTTTCTAACAATAGAATAGGGCAGGTTTGTGAAGGTGTAAACTGTGATTGGAGATATTCAGGTATAGGTGGGAGTCATTTTAGAGAATATTTTATAGGGGAAATATATATTGGGTGGGATATTGGACTTTTCCAACTAAAGAAAATTTAATTCCTTCTCTGTTTATCTCAAGAGCTACATTGCAAATTTCCTGGGGCAAGGATAGATCCCTTTCTTTTGTATCTCTCAAAGCTTCTTTAGGATGACTTTTTATTTCCACATCTTCCATGTAAGATCCTTGAAATAAATAAACCTCCTAAACTTTTCTTCTGCCTCACCTCCTCTACCCTTTCCATTCACCTCCCCACCAAAAAACCCCCAAGAATGTAGATATATAATATGCTCCATCTAAAAGCACCCTTAAGTCCTCTAGGTTTCTGAGACTTCTGACACTTCTTCCATGTCCACAGAGACATGCCCAAGTTCCCAAAATGATTGTGGCAGAAATGGGCCTAGGAATCAGGCTTTCTGGCTCCTACACTCTTTCCATTACACCATTACACCCTTGGGACACACCATAAAATCCAGAAATTGATGGCTGGTAGCCTGTCTCCATGTTATTTTTTGATGAGGGGAATCCAGGACAGTTGCTGGTATTATAAATGATTATGGCACTTTCCAAATCCCAGCTTTCATAACTTCATTCTGTTTGTTCTGGTGCCAGGTTCACATTCAGATATTGTTTTCATTTGGTGTCTGGGAGGTTTTTTTTTGCTGTCAACTCTTTATGGACACATGTTTGCTTATTAAGTTTTCTTCTGTGCTATAGTGTGAAAACATTTTTTTTCCTTTTGGTTTTGTTTTCTGTTTTATGCTCAGTGACTGTTGTGGGACTGAGTAGATGAGCCCACATACAGATTTAGGTTGGTTCTCCGTGGGTGGTTTAGAATGTTTGTGACATTTATGGTTTGCAGAAGCTGAAGGGGTGGCCTTTTCTATACCCTCCTTGCAAGAATAGGTATGTCATGTGTTTGCCAGACCATGCTTAGCTATGTGCCTTTGGAATTTTACCATAACTTCTTTTTTTGGACTGATTCTCCACACTTTTTTAAAATCTGTAAACTATTATAATTTCTTGCAGCTTTATGAAAGAGTTATATGTTAGATGGATTGTCGGGTAATGGGAGAGAGAGAGAAAGAAAGAAAGAAGAGAATATAGATTTGGGGAATGAGTGGGATGAAGGGGAATGAAGGTCTTGGGTCTTCCCCTGCCAAAATTTAAATACTCAGAGATTGATTTTTTCAAGGCGTTGATTAGCCTCTAGTTAGTACTGTTTATTCCAGTGTTATGCTTATGGGTGTTTTGATAAGACTTGTAGCTCAGACATAAAACTCAAATTACCTACCATAAGTCATCTCACTAGCTAAGGATATTTTCTGAGCACTTCACATGGTACATTATTCCTTCCATCCTATTGGTGAATATGTCCAGTAAATAGTTTATGGTTAAACATCTAAAATGACAATAAAACTTAGATTAAAAAGTTATTGGTAACTGACTTGTTATATTCAAGTACTCAGATGTTTTTCATTCACTGACTAGGATGTATGTTTAAAGTATAGCTTTGGAGCTCAATTAGTAGAGACAGAGTTGGAGCAGAGATGATCATGTATTAAATTAACCTAGTCGTTAGTTTTTAATTTAAATACTGTTCAGCTAAATAATTTGGCACCCAGTATGTTTCATTGGTGCTGGGCTGGCATTTTAAACACATCACTAATTATTCACAGGTTTATTTTTTCCTCCTCTTTTCAAAGAAATGTGGAACCAGCAATTTATTGTGGTAAAAATATTTTCATGCACTTGCTTTTCTGTGAAAAAATTTTTCACACATGGACAACTGGTACTACAAAGTTAGCTTCCACCGCTTTCAGGTCAATTCATTTTAGAACATTTGGAAAATGATACCCTTGAAATAAAAAAATTAAGTAAGGCAAAGAGCAGTCTAACAGCTTGCAGAGGATTGGATTTGAGGCTCAAACTGAAGATTTTTCCTGTCTTATGATTAAAAGCTGAGTGTTCTCTAAATCAGCCTACTTAGCTCTCTGGGGGAAAGACTTCCTACATCTTTTGCATCTATCTCTCCCCGTTTAGTGTGTCTTTTATCATCACATACTACTAAACTAACTTTTAGGGGGTTGTAGATAAGCTTAGAAATGGTAAAAATAAAGGAATTGGTGTATGGGAGAGATTCTTTTGAAGCAAACAACAGAAATTTGTGTAACAAAGGCCAGAGGTCTTTCCCAGGCCAGAGGTCTTTCCCCTGTGGGTAGACGCAGAGGCCAGCCCCTCCGTGTATATGTGAGGACACGGAAGTCAGCGTGAAGCAGCATCAGAACGTGGGCAGCGATGTTCGGCTTAACCAGGATTCTCTCTCTCCAGCTAAAACCTCTTCAGCGGCTCCCCAAGATTCTGAAGCAGTGATTCTCAAACTTGAGCATGTTTTGGAATCACCAGAGGGCTTGTTAATGCACAGAACACTGGCCCGATCCCTGAGGTTCTGATTCTGGGGCGTTTCCCAAGAGTTTGCGTTGCTGATGGGTTCCTAGGGGCTGCTGGGGCTGCTGGTCCCGGCACCACAGGCTGAGAGCCAGAGACTGGAGAGAGTAACTGGAGAGTTACCACACAGAGTACAGAATCCTTGATTAACTCATCCTCTGCCTTTCTCTCCAGGCTTATATCTATTATTCTCCCCTTGAATATTAAACCTATGCAATGTCAAACACTGGCAAACTCTTGCAAATGTCAAGCTGCATATAAAGGTGCTCATGTGTCTTGATGCACTTGCTGTTTCTTTTGCTGAGTTCCCTTCTCTCCATTGTCTACCTGATGAGAATGCCAGTTCATTCTTCAAAACCAACTTCATCTGTACAACTTCCTTAATTTCCTGGAGATAGTTAATGAATTCTTCTGTTCCATCACTGTACTTTGTACATATTTTTATTGTGGTTATTACGTGTTAAAGTCGAGTTGCAATATACACACATTAGTACTTAAAATGGGTTATTCGTGCTCTGTATAGGGAGCCAGGGTGATTTAAAGAGAGAGGATAATTTTGTGTGTTGTACCAATCCAAAAACATACAATGCTAACTGATGAACATCCTGGGGGAGGCCATGAGATGGAAGATGAGAATTTGCCATTCCCCCAGTGGGGCTCATCCTCCTGGCCTCTCAGAGTGAGTCATTTTATCATGCTGAGGGTGATTCTAGTGCTAACCATACATATTCTTGTATAACATGAGGTTTAAACACCACTTCATCTGGTCCCTAACTGAAGAATCAGTAACCCAATTCAATGCCAGAGGAAAAACTGATCATCCTCTTGAGAGATAGGACAATGTTGTACTTTGTGGGTGTTTTGAAGGATTTCAGTGGATAATTCTGACTAAATAGGAGTTCACCTATGTCCTGACTGTACTGTCCATTCTCCCTATAGGACGAGCCTGTATTGTCCCTGTGTACTTGCATATCTGCCTTCCGTTAGATTAGCATACTCTATTGTTGGATCTTTACCACATTCCTTTCAGTTGGGGCTTCATGGAGGGTGCTTTGGATTGGCTCACTTAGTGTAGCAATATATTATCTACTATGATAACTCATTTAATAAAGACTCAAATAGTTATTCAATAAATGACTGAGTTTGTGACATTCATTCTACTGTGAATTGTGTAGACCTCATGAGAAGAGCAGAAGATACAGATTCCTCTTTTGGAGAAATAGTCATGGACTTTGTTACTCCCCTACTTAGGATTTTCCCATTCCACACTATTTTTCAGAGGATCAAGATAAACCTATGCTTCTTAAAATATCATGCAGGGCATTCCATGATCTGGTCCTGTGTACCTCATCTACCTCCCGTCTTTCCTCTGTTCCTTAAACTATATTCTAGTTACATTCTAACTTCACTGGACTGCTTAAAATTACCCACATACACCAGACTGCTTCATGGTTCTGTGCCTTGACTGATAAGACCAGAGCACAGACTTTGGAAATCAAAACACCTTGGGCTTGAATCCCAGTTCCAATAACTTCATAGGATTATTACTTAACCCAGCACCTGGAATGCAGAAGGTGGTCAGTACATGCTAATTTTATCATATGTGAGGTAATATGGTAAAGAAGGGATAATGTGCTATCTTTGGAACCAGATAGACTTGTTTCTATTGCCCTGGTCTAGCACTTTATAGCTCTGAGTCAAGAGCCCATCACATAAGTATCCTCAGCATCCATTTTCTGTAAAAAGCTATCTCAGGAATGTGTAAGGATTCAAAATAGTGCCTTTAAACATATGCTTGGCACTTGGTAGATGTTCAGTAAACAGTAGTTCTTATCATTCCTGTCACTTTACCAACTGTACCTTAACTATTTACTAAGTAAGATTGCCTACTGAGGGTCTCAGAGTGTCACAGTCCCTCTAAATTTTTTTTATGTGAACATTTTTTACTTGATTAGCAGTAAATACTTCATTTGTCCATAGAACTAACTAATTTTGGAGGATCACAGCTTTGTGTTTCTCTGGCTACCAAGTATGAGGGTAGGAGGAAAAGAAAAAGAAAAGACAGGAAAACAACAAATAAAGGTCAGGCTTGTTCTTTTGTTCTGTAGGTACTCAGACCAGAAGAAATATGTTCCAGATGGCCTTTCATATTATGCTGCTCCATTTCTCTCACCCCATTTAGTATTTGATGTCCATTAAACTAACTTTAATTTGGTTCCTTTCTCCAACAAGACAAATCTGGTCTCTGATAGCTAGCTTATTTATCTGTTTAGTCTAGTGATAGCATAACTCAAAGTTAATAATAGATATTTAGGTTTGGCACCTGTTTGAAAGTCTCATATTTGAAAGATAGATGCATTGGACAACCAATGAAACATTTATTAAAAAAATATCATACACAGTTTACTGCTAATTGTTACTTACCCATTGAGCTATACTTGTCACTTTTGAGGGGAAATCTTAGCCCTGAAGCACTCTGGCCTGTGGACTGACATTCGTATTGAACTCTATTGTCCCTGCACTTTAAATTCCTTCAAAGGGGAGATGATCAGACTTCAGGTATGTGTTATTATCTGACATTAAAAATCATGTACGTATACACACACACATGGATATTTATACACATACACAATATATATATTTCCAACTCCAATTTTATGTCATCCTGCCATTTGTTAAATTTTAACTATAGTAGATCTAGCAATATTTTCTTAAAAAGTAAAACTGGAAATAATTGTTGCTCTTCCTAGTATACTTACTGATCCAAAGGGAAGGGTTTAATGTCTGGCTAAAAATATACATATATCTACATGAGTAGGCAGTTCACTTAAGGTATCTAAAATAAATTAATATTCTGAAAACCTGATTCTAGATTTGTAGGGAAAAATGGGGAAAGACATAGCCAAGCTACTATTTACTTGTTACGGAGATGGAGGCCCCAAACATGTTCAGTGATTTATCCAGTCACAGAGCTACTTACTGGCAAGCTGGCATTCAACTCAAGACTCCTGACTGCTGTATATTAACTGACTGACTTTAAATAAAGGTTGCAGGATTTAGCAATTACTGAGAAAAGCTCAGAAATGCTATTGTCTTTCACTCTTTTTTTTTGTCATAGTGAGAAGAATTGTATTGAAATGGACTTAAATGAAGAACACATTGTACTTAGTTTTCTCCTTTTGGGCAAGGGAGACCTTAGCTTTCATGGTTCCTGGGGCTGAAAGAGATAACAGGAGTGTTATTTCTTCTTCCTTTACTCATTCTTCCCTAGTAATCCACTCCTTTCTAAGAAAATATCATTTCTCCATAGAGATCAGGTGTGTATTTTTCTCCAGTTCTAATGAAGCATAGAGATAAGGTGTTTATGCAAAAGTAAATTTCTGCCACAATATACCCTGACACTTATGGCATACGTACATTGGGAAGGAGCGGTTCAGTGGGTTGCCTTACTTGTAGTCATGAGATTTCCAGTCTCTCAACAGGGAAGAGGAGAAGAGGTGATGATTAAGAACACAAAATTTTGTGTGTGTGTGTGTGTGTGTGTATGTGTGTGTATATATATGTATATATATATGTGCATTTATGTAAGAATCAAGTCTTTTTTGAAGACAGTGAGCTGCTAGTTTTTAAAAATTTTAAACGTATTTCCACAATTTTTTCTTGCAGACCTTTTCAGAGGCAATTAGATTTAATGTGGATTCTGCAGTTTTTGAAGTAGTGAACAATGCTCCTCAACTCCTGGAAAAGCAACTGAAAAAAATTCTGCAAAAGCAGCAACCTCGAAATCCCATCTATGATGTTGTAAGAAAAGGAAAGAATGATGTTAAACCTATGCAATTGAATGTCCTCTATGAAGATGAGACCATTAGTGTCAACTACAACATCATGGTAAAGTATATTTGAGTATATCTTGCAAAATAGATAAAACATGAGGTGAGATCATCATGATGTTCCTTGGGCTTCCCTTTCTGAAGTATAACTATATTTATGAAATTTTTTTGGACTTACACATAGTAGTTGTTAGTTGCTCTATCATCTTGCTCATATTGGATGTCCAATTTAGTCTAGCAGTTTGGTTGCTATTTAATTATCAGTATGAACAGGTTCATGTAATTTGCTTTGAATATTTAGAGTATCAGGTTAATGTGGAGCAGTAAAAATATGTGTGTCCTTTACAGTTTAGATGCATTCTAGAAAATGTGGGTATACAATGAATTTATTTTCATTTGGGTCCTAGCTTAGTGAAAAGTTAGAAATTGAGATTTCCCACCCTCAAGTCACATTGACCTCCTTAGCCTCAAATTCTACTCCCAGCTTTTGGATTTTGTCTCCTTAGCATAAGGTCAAAAAAGAAAAGGGTTCTAATATTGGCTCTTCAACTTATACTAGGTTTGTGTTCTTGAACAGGTCACTTTGATGAACTTATATTCTTTGTCTGTCAAAGGATGTTTCACTGCCTTCTACTTAGGTTTGTTATGTGGATCAAATGAAGATAGTAATACATGTTTAACAACACTGTTCTCCATTGAATTAAAAAATCTGATAGAATTAGGCTCAAATATGTCTAACACTCAAGATTGAGCTCTTTTTTAACCTGAAAGTTCTTCAGTTCTTAACTGAATTCAAATGTATTTCTATCTTTCTTGTTTACTTCCATCAAATTAGGCACATTAGCAATAATAATAGCATTTATAAATCCTTAAATAGTAATAGTAACTAAGTTACAGCATTATTTTGAAGTTAAGGAAATATATTGTGAACTTCATAACACCATATAAATTGTTAAATTGAAAAATTTTTGCTCAGTATGACAGTGATATTTATTTGTTTATTCATGTCCCTCAGTGAATAGACATTTTTTATTTCATGGGAGCCTTTATAACCTATTTCTTTAGTGTTAAAAGATATTTAGGAGCTTCTTTTTTATTGAGGTATAGTTGACATACAACAATATATTAGTTATAGGTGTATAACATAATGATTTGATATTTCTATACAAGGAGATTCTTGAGTTGTGTGTTTTCACACAAGTTTCTCAAAAAGACCTATGTGACCTTATTTCATATACTTGAAGGTAAACTGTGATTCATGAAGTACACATACTGTAAACAGTAAGGTAGCAATTTAGATATCTTTTAAAAAGAAGTATAAACAATAATAGATGAGATAAAAAGAAATAAGAAAGTATTGAAACCAGAAACAGACAGAAAATAAGGATAAAATGGAACAAAGAATATATGGAACAAGGAGAAAACAAGATAGCAGATTCTAAACATACCATGTCAGTAGTTAGTAGCACATTAATATACTTAAATCATTGCATTAAATTTAAATGGCCTAACCATGCCAAGGAAATGTCAGAGTCAGATGGGATAAAAAGGAAAGACACAATCTGCTGTCTATAAGTAACCCACCTCAAATATAACACATGACACATAAATAGGTTAAAAAGTCAAAGAATGGGAAAAGATAGCCATACAATTACTAATTTAAAGAAAGCTAGAGTGACTATATTAATGTCAGGCAAAATAGACTTCAGGACAAGGAATCTTGCTATGGATAAAGAAGGACATTACATAGTGATAAAAGGATCAACTCCCTAAGAAACTGTACCATAAGTATGCACCTAACAACAGAGCTTCATAAAAATGAAACAAAAGCTGATAACACTGCAAGATGAAATAGACAAATCCACAGTAATAGTTGGAGACTTAAACATTATTTTCCCAGTAATCTATAGAGAAAGTACACAGAAGATCTGTAGGGATACAGATCTGGACAACACTAGCAACCACGTCAATCTAATTAATGTTTATAGAACACTTCTCCCCACAGCTGCAGAGTACATACTCTTTTTCAAGTACACTTGAAATATTGACCAGAATAGACCAGATTCTGGGCCATACAACAAATTTAAAAGATTTGAAATCATGCAAAATATGTTCTTTGAACATAACAAAATTAAACTATAGTTAGTAACACAGAGATATCTGGAAAATCCTCAAATATTTAATTAACTAAACAGTACACTTTTAAATAGCCCATAAGTCAAAGAGTAAGTCCCCAGGGAAATAAGAAATAAGATTGAATTGAATAAAAAAGCACAACATAACAAAATCTATGGGATGTGGCTAAATAAGTCCTTGGAGATAAATTTATAGCATTAAATGTTTATATTAGAAAATATTAAGGAATTAAAGACAGAAAAATTAGAGAAAATCCATGAAAATAAAGGTTAATTCTTTGAAAAAAACTGATGAAATTTATAAGCATTTAGTCAGAATGATGAGGAAAAAAATAAGAGAAGATATAAATTAATATCACAAGGGTGGAGATATCACTACAGGTACTACAGACATTCAAAGGAAAATAGGGAATTATACAAATAACTTTATGTCCATAAACTCAGCAACTCAAGTGAAATGGAAATATTCCTTAAAAGACACAGATTACCAGTGCTCACTTAACAGGATGTGGGTAATCCGAATAGTCCTAAATTTATTAAATAAATTGGATTCATAGTTAAAAATCTCCTGACATCATAATGATGAGAAACTCAAGTTTTCTCACCAGATTACAAAGCAAGGACATCCCCTCTCCCCACTCATTTTCAGCATCTTAATTACTAAGTCCTTGCTAATGCAATAAGGCAAGAAAAGGAAATAAAAGTTATCCAGATTGGGAAGGAAGACATACAACTGTGTTAGTTTACAGATGGCTTGATCATTGATATAGAAAATCTGAAGGAATTGACAAAAAAATCCATAACTAATCAGCAATTATAGCAAGATCATCAGATATAAGGTTAATATACAAAGTCAGTTGCTTTTCTATATACTAATAATGTACATGTGGAATTTAAAATTTAAAACCCAATACTATTTATCATAGTAATACCATTTACCATAATAGTAAACATATTACCATTAGCACACTCAAAAATAAAATACTTAACTATAAATCTAATAAAATATGTACTAGATCTATGTGAGGAAAACTAGAAAACTTTGATGAATGAAATGAAAGAACCAAATAGAGATATTCTATGTTCATGGGCAGGAACACTCAATATTGTCAAGATATCACTTCTTTTCAACTTGCACTGTAGATGTAATGCAGTCCCAATCAAAATCCCAGCAAAATCAAAAATCCCAAACTGATTCTAAAGTTTCTGTGGAGAGTCAAAAGAGTTGGAGGACTGATGCTACCCAACTTCAAGTCTTACTGCCAAGCTACAATAATCAATACAGTGTGGTACTGGTGAAAGAATAGACAAATAGATCAATGGAACAGAATAGATATCTCAGAAATAGACCCCCATAAATACAGTCAGTTGATCTTTGGAAAATGAGCCAAGGCAATCAATGGAACAAAGATAGTCACTTCAACAGATGGTGCTGTAACAACTAGATATACACAGATCTTAAACCCTTCAGAAAAATTAACACAAAATGGATCATAGTCCTCAATGTAAAACACAGACTCTAAGACTCCTAGGTGATAACAAAGGAGAAAATCTAGATGACCTTGGATATGGCCAAAGAGATCCATGAAAGAAATCATTGATAAGTTGGACTTAATTAAAATTAAAACCTTTTGTTCTACAGAAGACAGCATCAATAGAATTAGAAGACAAGCCACAGACTTGAGGAAAATATTTGCAAGAGACCCATCTGATAAAGATCTGTCATTTAAAATATAAAAAAATCACTTCAAACTCAACAATAAGAAAACAGCCAACCTGATTTTAAAAATGGGTCAAAAACCTTAACAGATACCTCACCAAAGAAGTTACAGAGATGGCAAATAAGCATATAAAAAATGCTCTACATTATATGTCATCAAGGAAATGCAAATTAAACAACATTGAGATACCACCACGCACATATTAGAATGGCCAAAATCCAGAAAACTGACACCAAATGTTAATGAGGATGCAGAGCAACAGGAATTCATGTACATTGCTGGTGTAATACAAAATGGTACAGCCACTTTGGAAGTTTGGTGGTTTCTTAACAAAACTAAACATACTCTTACCATATGATCCAGTAATTGTATTCCATGGTATTTAACCAGAGGAGTTGAAAATTTATGTCCACATGAATACCTGCTGATGAATTTTATAGCAGCTTTATTAATAATTGCCAAAACTTGGAAGTAACTAAGATGTCCTCCATAGGTAAGTGAATAAATTAACTGTGTACATCCATAAGTGGAATATTATAAAGTGGTAAAAAGAGATGAGTTTCAAGCCATGAAAAGACATGGAGGAAACTTTAATATATATTACTAAGTGAAAGAAGGCAATCTAAAAAAGGCTACATACTGTATGATTCCAACTGTATGGCGTTCTGAAGAAAGGCAAAACTATGGAGACAATAAAGAAATCTGGTTGCCAGGGGTGCAGGGAGCAGATGATGACTAAGCAGAGTGCAGAGGATTTTTAGGTTAGTGAAAATATTTTGTTATGATATTATAATGATGGATATATATCATTATACATTTGTCCAATTCTATAGAATGTACAACAGCAAAAGTGAACCCTAAGACACACAATGGATATTAGGTGATTGTCATGTGTCAACGTAGGTTCATCCTTGGTAAAAGATGTACCATTCTGGTGAATGATGTTGATAATGGGGGTTATACATATATGGGGGCAGGAATATGTGGGAAATCTCTGTACCTCCTTCTCAATTTTGTAAACGTAAAACTTCTCTAAAAAATGTCTTAAAGAAAACTATTCCCAGAAAGAAAACTCCAGGCCTAAATGACTTTACTGTTGAATTCTATCAAATATTTAGAGATGAAGTAATACTAAATTTATGAAAACTTCCCCCCACAAAAAAAAAACAAAGAAGAGGGATCAATTTTCAACTTATTTTATGATGTCAGCATTTTTCAGATACCAATACTAGATAAAAAAATTTCAAGGAAAAGAAAAACCTATGAACTATATCCCTGAGCCATAAATACAAAATCCTCAAAAAAGTAAGCAAATTGAATCCAGCATGCAAAAAAATAGATAAACATCATCTTTTAGAGGAAAACATAGACATAAATCTTTATAACCTTGTATAGGCATTGGTTTTGAAGATAGGACACCAAAGGCACAAACAACAAAAGAAAAAAAATTAAAATTAAAAATTTTTATGTTCCAAAGGACACACCAAGAAAGTAAAAATATAACCACTGAATGGGAGAAAATAATTGCAAATCATATGAATATCATGAGGATTTGTATCTAGATTGTACAAAGAACTCTTACAACTCAAAATAAAAAGACAATGGAATTTAAAAAATGGACAAAGGATCTGAATAGACATTTCTCCAGAGAAGATGTACAAATGAGCAATATGTATATGAAAAGATAATCATAAGGGAAATGCACTCAGTGCTGGGGGGCAGGGAGGTGGAGGAGCTGGAGTGAACGGAGTAATTGCTAATGAGTATAGGTTTTTTGGGAGGGTGGTGAAAATGCTCTAAATTTGTGGTGATGGCTTATAAATATACTAAAAACTATTGGGTTATGCACTTTAAATGGGTGAATTGTATAGAAAGTATTTACATCTTGATAAAGCTGTTATAAAATGAAGTGTGTATGCACACATACACAAAAATCACAATGAACTATTTCTACATACTATTACAACAAGTAAAATATTGTAAAACAAACACTGACATTACAAAATGCTAGCCAGGATGCAAAACAATCTAAACACTTATATTGGTGAGAATTCCATTTTTGAAAACAGTTTGGCTGTTCTAAGTTAAACATACAGTATACTACCCATCTCTCCTATTTTGAATATTACCCAAGAGAAATGAAGAGTTCTGATCACACAGAAACCTGTATGTGAATGTCGGGGGTTGCTTTATTTACAATCACCAAAAGCTAGGAGCAATCCAACTTTTCTTTAACTAGGGAACAGATAAGTACTGCGGATAATCTATATAGTGGAGTACTACTCAGCAAAGAAGAGGAATGAACTAGTGATCCATGGAAAGAATGTAGATCAATCTCAAATGTGTTACGTGAAATGAAAGAAGCCAGAGTCAAAAGCTATGTACTGTACTGATTCCATTTACATGACATTCTCAAAAAGGCAAAGCTGTGGAGGTGTGAAAACCAATCAGTGGTTGCCAGGGCCTGGGTTAGAGGGAGTCAGTAACTACAAAATGACATGAGGAAGTTTGGGAGTGTTGAAACTATTCAATATCCTTGTTGTAGTCAAGGTTATATGACTATATTTGTCAAAAGTTGTAGAACTGTATACTAAAAAGAATAGATTTTACTGTATGTAATGTATACCTTGATAAATCTGACTGAACAAAAAAAGGTCTCTTGGCAGATAGCCATGCTTTCTTTGGTTGCCTCATACATCTAAATATGATTTTTATTAATTTAATTCTTTAGGCATTTTAGAGAGCTTGTGTATGGTTACTTGGAAATAGTTCTGGAAATTATGTAACTACAGCCAGTTTCCTCTAACCTTCTGGTTATCTCTTTTTGTTTCTTAACCAGCTTTTCTTTTTTTGTTGTTTATTTATTTTAAGGCTTCAATAATTTTACCTTAGTTTTGTATTTCTTATCATTGTTAAGTTATAATTTTATGGTTGACAGAATCGTTCTGTATCTTTTTGGTCTTTTATATTTCAGTTACTTGTAAACACCTTGAGATTTTTTGGCAATTTGACTAAAGACTTTTCTTCAATTTTGATTTAGTTCCTTTTAAACTTTTTAGTTCACTTAATTTTTAGGTCAGATAGGTGCAGAAACATTCAAAAGAGGATTAGGCAAATGATTTTGTATAAACTGACTAGTCTGACATCTTTGTTAGATTCCTCAAGGTTTATTTGATCTTTACATATAGTTTGGTGTCTTTCTGTGATACACTGCATTGCTAGTGAGAACTTGAGTCCGGAGTGGTTGTCCATGTGTAGCATATGTGGAGCCATGTGTGGAGTCTTCCTAACTATACCATGCAAATGTCCTTCATCTCAATGCTAAGCAATGAGACTGTTGCTGCTGTTCAGATGCTGCTGTTTCCAAGGTTTCTGTTCTTTCGTTACCCAGAAGGTAATCTTTCTGAAGTCAAATGGGTGTTTTTGGCTGAACAGGAGGAAACCATTGTTTGCTCAGTTTTCCAGTCCTGGGGAGCTGAATAACTTCATGACACACGTAAGCAATGCTGAGCACAGGTGCTGCCTCAGGAACATGAGTTGGACAGCACTGCTCCTCACTTGTGTCAGCAGTGGTCGGACAGACACTAATCTCACACAGCACAACTGCAGCCCCTGCAGATAATCAGTGGAAAGCCACATGAATGCAGACCCGTTAGCCTCGCTGAGATGTTTACTGTATTGGTTGTTTTACTTATCAGTAGCATTTGTTTAGTGTCCAAGGTTGCTGGCATTCTTTAGCATTCTGGAAAAACCGAATATAAAACAAGACAGAACATTAGTGAACAAATATTTTAGGCTGAATAGCAATTTAGTGACTCTTCTGTAATTTTATATGGCCCTCACAATCCCAAGATAAAATCTAAACTCTTCAATGTTATTTAAAAGGCCCCTGCCTACTTCTCCAGGCTTCTTCAGCCTGGAGACACTGAGATTCCAGGTCTCAAATCTCACCCTGTGATCTAGTTGTACTGACATTACCTTTGTTTCCTTCACTGATCCCCTCATCAACCTAGCGAATTGTGCTGAAGGTCAGAGTGAGCGGCATGTTCTGTGGGAAACCTTTGCTGGTTTTAGTGCCCGTGTGACCTCCCATAGAAGCCTGAATTAATGGCACTTACAGCACCTTATTATTATTGTTTTTTGAATTATCATTAAACTCTTTAAAGGCAGGGTCTTACCTTTCTTGTTAAATTTGGTATTCCCAGAATAGAATATATACAAAATTTTCTAAAATTCAGAAGGCAAGGGGCCTGCAGTGACCACAGTGGCCTTACCAAGTGTTCCAGTTAGTTCTTTTTCTGTTTGTGATTATTTTTAACCAGTTTGTTAACTGCGAAGACACTGAGACTGACTTTTTTCTCACACTCCTTCAGTTTGTTTAATCTGTAAAATGGAGATAATGGTTGATGCGGGGTCGTTGAGAGAATTAAGAAGTACCAGAAGGCAAGAAGTGTCTTCAAATTTGTGACTCAGAGTTCTAGCTAGTGCTCTCTTGTGCAGGTAGAAGAGGCATAGCTCCTGGTAATAGCTAGAGGTCATTAGGGATGCATTGAGTAAGGCTTAATTGTTCTTACAGGTAATTTTCTTTTACACTCTTTCTTCTTCACTTGTCCTCTAATAGTGTCTCAGTCGTAAACAAGGTATTCAGTGGATCAAAAAGGAAAGACTTCCAGCATTTCTGGAAAGTGATTGCTACTTCGAATACAGGTATTGTAGTCCCATCAATATACATATTTACCTGATTTTAAGTGCCTACTTTTTTTCACCAAAAATCATTTTTCTGTACTTTGTTAATAAAATTGTATACTGTTAAACTTATTTGAATTTATACCCCATTTGTATAAGAGTGATAGAGCATTGGTAAAAATCATATAACTTTTCCAAAGGTATTTCACAGAAACAATACCTAATAAATGTACTTCAGTTGTGCTTCTTAGATCATTATATTTTAAAAATTATCTACTTGTGATAATGGTATTTAAGTCGGTGCTAAGGACAAGTTTATCTTTTATGCTCCCTGGCTTTTTGTTGTTGTTTATTGACATATCATTGATATATAATCTTATATTGGTTTCAAGTATACAACAGTGGTTCAGCAGTTACGCATGTTTTTAAATCCTCACCCCCACTAGTGCAGTTTCTGTCTGTCAACATAGAAAGATGTTACAGATTCATTGACTATATTCTCCAACCTGTACTATTGTCTCTGGGACCAACTTATAGTATGATTGAGAATTTTTGTGCTCCTTTTATCCCCTTCACCCTCTCCCTCTCCACCTACTCACCCCCACCCCTCCCCCATATTTCACTTATTTGTGGAATGTAAAAACAAAACAGAACAAAATGTTCCTGGCTTTTAAAGTTTAAGTGCTTATGCATTCTGAAATTTTACTAAAATCTGAAGTTTGTTTAAAACAACCATTAAAAATCAATATAAAATAAGTTAAAACTAATTAGTAATTAGTAATTCTATGAATAAGCCATTAATTTTAGCAGATCCTAAGAGAATGATCCTGCAGCATCAGGAGGGGACATTATCTTGAACACATAAATAAAATTTTTGGGTTTTTTTCTGAAATCTACTATATTGAAACTTATTTCAAGTTTGTATGATTTCTAAAATGCAGGTTAGCCAAATTGGTCTCACAGGTAAGATGGAGCGGATCAGGCATGAATGTCACTCTAGGTTCAGATTTTACTCCCTGGGTCCTGAGAAAACCACCCAGTCCAGCACCTCCTGCCATTGAAGAAGACAATGTTGCGATTATGAAGAAGTTCTACGTTTCTCTTGGAGAGGTAAAAGTATTAGCCTTTCTTTGTGACTTGGCACTTAAGTGGAACTTCTCATTTTTGGGACATGAATTTCATTTGTGCCACTTGAATAGGGAACATTATTTCAAATACTTGTGGATATATGCTGGCTCATTCGCTGTGCATTTTTTCACCTGAGATGCAATTAGAATTATTTTCTCATGTGTATGAAGGAACAGATACAAGATTGAAGAACATACTCAGTGTCACCTGGGAAGCAAGGTGACTTGAATTCCATCCATAGTTTAATTGTTCATTATTTAGATTCAATAATTTTCATACAAAATGATGGCAAATTGGATCTTTTCCTCCCTGTTGCCAATGTTATTCCTCAGAAGTAAAATGCATTACTGTTTGTTATGAGATAAGTTTGTCCTCAGTGACTGGAGACGTGTTGGATTGTGTGAGTACATCTGAAGAGAATCAGATATTTTGAAGAGTTGTGTTGTAGTGAAAACTGTTGTTTCATCTTTGGCCTCCAGTTATCAGATTTTCTTTCCAGGAACACATTTCCAATACACAGTTTTGTACAAAACCAGGAGTTGCAAGTATGTGGCCCATGTGTTGCTGTTCCCCCAATTTCCATTCATGCCAGACATTGCTAATCAATCATGGCAATTTTCCTGCTGATTTAGGAACTTGGCTCCAAATTCTTTTCAACATAGCCATCTAGGCAGGCACTTCAGTTGATCAAAGATGTCATACAAGAGGAAAACTGTTTGCAGTCTCTGTTGAAATGGATAGACTTACCCTATCTTATGTAAATATTTTTCTCATGTGTAGCTCCTATTTAATTTTGTAGTTTGGTATTTCTATCAGTAATATTTGGCAAAAAAAATATTTTAAATTATTCCCATTACATTATTTCTACTGAAAATGCTTAGAGATGTACTGAAGGTACATTTTCTTCTCTCTTACAACTATTTTTTTTATTAAGGTATCATTGATAAACATACAATCTTATGCTCAAGTTTCACAGGAGCAACATTCTGGTTACTACATTCCCCCATATTATCAAGTCCTCACCATTACAGTCACTGTCCATCAGCATTGTAAGATGCTATAGAGTCACTACTTGTCTTCTCTGTGCTATACTTCCTTCCCCGTGCCTCCCCTATATTATGTGTTCGCTAATAATAATACCTTTCAATCCTCTTATCCTTCCCTTCCCACTCACCCTCCTCAACCCCTTTTCCTTTCGTAACCACTAGTGCGTTTTTGGGTTCTGTGAGTCTCCTGCTGTTTTGTTCCTTCATTTTTTGCTTTGTTGTTATACTCCACAGATGAGTGAAATCATTTGGTACTTGTCTTTCTCTGTCTGGCTTATTTCACTGAGCATAATACCCTCTAGCTCCATCCATGTTGTTGCAAATGGTAGAATTTGTTTTATTCTTATGGCTCAATATTCCATTGTATATATGTACCACATCTTCTTTATCCACTTATCTACTGATGGACACTTAGGTTACTTCCATGTCTTGACTATTGTAAATAGTACTGCAATGAACAGGGGTGCATATGTCTTTTTGAATCTGTGATCCTATTCTTTGGGTAGATTCCTTGGAGTGGAATTTCTGGGTCAAATGGTATTTCTATTTTTAGTTTTTTGAGGAACCTCCATATTGCTTTCCACAATGGTTAAACTAATTTACATTCCCACCAGCAGTGTAGGAGGGTTCCCCTTTCTCCACATTCTCGCCAACATTTGTTGTTGTTTCTCTTTTGGATGGTGGCCATCCTTACTGGTGTGAGGTGATATCTCATTTTTAATTTGCATTTCTGTGATGATTTGCAATGTGGAACATATTTTCATGTGTCTGTTGGCCATCTGAATTTCTTCTTTGGAGAAGTGTCTGTTCAGATACTCTGCCCATTTTTTAATAGGGTTATTTGCTTTTTGGGTGTTAAGGCATGTGAGCTCTTTTTGTATTTTGGATGTTGACCCCTTATCAGATGAGTCATTTATGAATTTATTCTCCCATACTCTAGGATACCTTTTTGTTTTACTGATGGTGTCCTTTGCGGTCCAGAAGCTTTTTAGTTTGATGTAGTCCCACTTGTTAATTTTTGCTTTTGTTTCCCTTGCCTGAGGAGATGTGTTCATGAAAAAGTTGCTCATGTTTATATTCAAGAGAGTGTTGCCTATGTTTTCTTCTAAGATGTTTATGCTTTCATGATTTACATTCAGGTCTTTGATCCATTTTGAGTTTACTTTTGTGTATGGAGTTAGAAAATAATCCAGTTTCATTCTTTTACAAGTAGCTGTCCAGTTTTGCCAACACTAGTTTTTGAAGAGGCTGTCATTTCTTCCTTGTATGTCCATGGCTCCTTTATAATATATTAATTGGCCATATACTTGTGTGTTTATATCTGGCCTGTCTATTCTATTTCATTGATCTATGGCTCTATTCTTGTGCCAGTACCACATTGTTGATTACTGTGGCTTTATGGTAGAGCTTGAAGTTGGGGAGTGTAATCCACCCAGCTTTATTCTTCCTTCTCAGTATTGCTTTGGTTATAAGGGGTCTTTGTGGTGCCATATTAATTTTAGAACTATTTGTTCTAGTTCATTGAAAATCTCTGTTGGTATTTTGATAGGGGTTGCATTGAACCTGTAGATTGCTTTAGGCAGGACAGCCATTTTGACAATATTAATTCTTCCTACCCAAGAGCATGGGATGTATTTCCATTTATTAGTACCTTCTTTAATTTCTCTCAGGAGTGTCTTGTAGTTTTCGTGGCATAGGTCTTTCATTTCCTTGGTTAGGTTTATTCCTAGGTATTTTATTCTTTTTGATGCAATTGTGAATGGAGTTGTTTTCCTGCTTTCTCTTTCTGCTAGTTCATCATTAGTGTATAGGAATGCAACAGATATCTGTGTATTAATTTTGTATCCTGCAACTTTGCTGAATGCAGATATTAGTTCTAGTAGTTTTGGAGTGGATTCTTTAGGGCTTTTATGTACAATATCATGTCATCTGCAAACAGGGACAGTATGACTTCTTCCTTACCAATATGGATACCTTTTATTTCTTTGTGTTGTCTGATTGCTGTGGCCTGGACCTCCAGTACTATGTTGAATTAAAGTGGTGAGAGTGGGCATCCTTGTCTTGTTCCCGATCTTAGAGGAAAAGCTTTCAGCTTTTCACTCTTAAGTATAATGTTGGCTGCGGATTTGTTGTATATGGCCTTTATTATGTTGAGGTACTTGCCATCTATACCCATATTGAGAGTTTTTCTCATGATTGGGTGTTGGATTTGTCAAATGCTTTTTCAGCATCTGTGGAGATGATCATGTGATTTTTGTCCTTCTTTTTATTGATGTAGTGGATGATGTTGATGGATTTTCGAATATTGTACCATCCTGCATCCCTGGAATGAATCCTACTTGATCATGATGTATTATCTTTCTGATGTATTTTTGAATTCAGCTTGTTAATATTTTGTTGAGTATTTTTGCATTTATATTCTTCAGGGATATTGGTCTGTAATTTTCTTTTTTTGTGGTGTCCTTGCCTGGTTTTGGTAGTAGAGCAATGCTGGCTTCATAGAATGATTTTGGAAGTATTCCCTCCTCTTCTACTTTTTGGAAAACTTTAAGGAGGATGGGTATTAGGTCTTCTCTAAATGTTTCATGAAATTCAGTGGTGAAACTATCTGATCTGGAGTTCTGTTCTTGGGTAGTTTTTTCATTACTGATTCCCATTTCTTCTAGGTTATCCAGTTTGTTAGCATATAATTTTTCATAGTATTTTCTAATAATTCTTTGTATTTCTGTGGTGTCTGTAGTGATTTTCCTTTCTCATTTCTGATTATGTTTATGTGTGTAGACTCTTTTTCTTGATAAGTCTGACTAGGGGTTTATCTATTTTGTTTCTTTTCTCAAAGAACCAACTCTTGGTTTCATTAATTTTTTCTATTTTTTATTCTTCTCAATTTTATATATTTCTGCTCTAATATTTATTTTGTCCCTCCTTCTGCTGTGTTTGGTCCTCATTTGTTCTTCTTTTCCACTTTCATTAATTGTAAATTTAGTCTGTTCATTTGAGTTTGTTCTTCCTTCTTTAAATAGCCCTGAATTGCTATATACTTTCCTCTTAGAACTGACTTCGCTGTGTCCCACAGAATTTGGGGCATTCAGCTGCTTTTTTCATTTGTCTCCATATATTGCTTGATCTCTGTTTTAATTTTTCCATTGATCCATTGATTATTTAGGAGTATGTTGTTAAGCCTCCATGTGTTTGTGAGCCTTTTTTTTCTTTGTACAATTTATTTCCAGCTTCATACCTTTGTGATCTGAAAAGTTGGTTGATACAATTTCAATCTTTCTATTTGCTGAGCCTCTTTTTGTGGTCTAGTATGTAATCTATTTTGGAAAATGTTCCATGTGCACTTGAGAAGAATGTGTATCCTGGTGTTTTTGGGTGGAGTGTTCTGTAGATGTCTGTTAGGTCCATCTGTTCTAATGTGTTGTTCAGTGCCTCTGTGTCCTTAATTATTTTCTGTCTGGTTGATCTGTCCTTTGGAGTGAGTGGTATGTTGAAGTCTCCTACTCTCTTAAACCTATTTTTAAGTATTATTTTCTCTTCATTTATGCATTGTAGAAATATCAGGAATGTCATAAAAAAGCACTGTTATTAGAGGTCAATAAACATGCAAAAAGAAGAATCAGTCTAGTGGAAAAAGTAAATGTGAGCTAGTTCATTTTTTCTATTTTTCTATGATGAAAAAATTCACTTCTGTCTACTTGATTAATACTTTAAATATTACCTTTTTAATAACTTTTGAAGTTTGAGGATTTAAAGCTTTTGGGCCATTAAATTATTTGAACAATGATTGTAGGTAGGAATTAATCTTTATGGTAATTGGTAATATTACTTTGAGTCTTCACTTATACCATCTAAACACAATTGACCCTATCTTAAGATTATGTTAACTGCTTTTATGTCTGACTGAATTTGTCCCCTGTCTTTATTCAGTCATCCTTTTTGTGCAGTTGTGATAGCAAGGACTCTTGTATACTGGTATTTCTCCATTCCCTGAAAGTTACTTAATTATTTTGTCCTCCTCTCATGGCTTAGGATTCTGCTTGGAATATTGTAGTCACTCAATAAATATATAACATGAACTAACATATAATTAATAATAAATAGGTAGGTTATAAAGGAAGGCAAAGAGGGAACAAAACGAAATTAGTATCTTTCAAAACATTTCTCCACCCAGGAAACCTTACCTCTAAGAGAGGCAGTGACTACACAGAGGGCACTTCTCACTTCTCTCTCTTGCTTTTTGGCCTCATTGTGTGCCTGACCTGCCCTGCTAATTCTGGAAATAGTCAGGAAACAATATGTGTTTCATTTGAGCCCTGCCTCTTCTGTGAGTGTTTCTTAGGCTAAGGACCCCCTGACTCATTTGAAGAAAGGAGAAATGAGAAGTGAGAGTAATGCTGGACACTCCCTTCTCTGATTCAGTAGAACAACTTGAATTAACTTAGAGAAACAGGTGAGGACATTACCTGGCAGAGGAGTATTCCCAGGAAAGGTAAGATAGGAGCTTTTTAAGACTGGGTTCTAGAAGTTGAGGGTCAGCTTGGGAATTGGGTCAGCTGGCACAAGGGTGCCCAAAGGAAAAATTGAAGACCACATCTAGGGTCAGAGGGTGTCAGGAATCAGTCTTCAGGAAACATCCAATCCAAGCAAAGTAAAAACTGAATCTAAGACAAGGGGCAGTTGAAACTTGGAGAGGTTTCTAATGTGTCCTGAGGGAGTAAGTCTTTGTCATATTAGAAAGGTGTTGCTAACAACACTGAGCCACGTCAGACAGAATTGGAGGTATGAAAGGACTGGGAAGGTTGTAAATGAGAGCAGCTGGCAAAAGGTGAATTCAAGGACTGATGAGCCACCGTGACGAACAAGCAGAGGTTAGATGGCACAAATCCGCAGTGAGTCCAGAAAGCAGAGCTACATGCCTCTGGTGGAAGGGTGGGAAAAATTTTCTGGGTATTGGGCTCATTTTTTTTCCTTTGGCCATCTAACATAAATAATTTGAGTTGAAATTTCCTTCCCGTTATTATTAGCTAATGAAATTTTCTGTGTACAACATTCTTTCCTTTCATGGCATGATTTTTTCCTTTACATATTGTAGTATGTAAATTGAACATTATCATAATGATTTGTCCAGATTTGTGATTAGAATAATACTGCTAATTGTATGTTAAACAAATATGCTCCTTTCTTCCTAGGCCTCCTATACTCAAACAAAAGATTGGTTTGCATTAGCCAAACAAAGTGAGCAAAGAGTATCGACCTTTTCATTGCCATCTTATGTACTTTACAACAAAACTGAATCACCAGTCATTTCATCTGTTCCTGGTAAGCAGAGAAGGACAAGAATGATTTCACAACTTCTATTTAAATCTTTTTTGTTGTTCTAATCTTCCAGTACAAACTTAGTAGTTGGGGAGGAAATTATCCCCCCCATCCATTCCACTTTCTAATATTTTTTGAGTGTCAACTTGGTATAGTGCAAAGAGGATGGGTTTGGAATGCAACTATGCTGCTTCTTAGTTGTGTGATTTTTTAAGTTATTCCACTGCCGGGCACCTTGCTTTTCTCATCTGTTTAAGATTAGAATAAGGATACATACTGAATGTATGGAGAGTGCCTGGCCTAGTGCTTGATACCTAGTAGGTAGTCAATAACTATTTGTCATGTCTTTATTTCCTATCACAGCTTACAAATTCTTATTATTAAGCCTTTGAAATAAAATGGCTCAACCTTTCTCTCTTAAAAGTAAATAGTCATTCATTGAACTTGAGTTTTTCTTCCATTTTTAAGTTCAGACAGTTTTTCAGCTTGAAAAGCAGATAAATTTCCACTGTGGGGAACTTCTGTGTATTATATAAATTTGTCATAAAAATAGAAGAAACCTTTCAGAAATGGGAGTTAAATGATATTGCTAGAGAAAAAAATGCAGCAATGTGATTCAGGAGAGGAACTCAGCAACTCATGGCAGTTCTTACCTAATTCCTTTGAAATGTATAAGCAACCTCTGGGAACAGTAAATCTAGAATCGAGCTTAAATCTAGGAAAAGAGGAAAATAATCTCCCTAACTGAAAATAACTGATTTATAGTTTTATTGCTCTTTCATTAAAATAGTAAAGTAGAAAACTGGAGAATAAAGAGGGAAGATAGTAAACAAGAAGAGAAGGGGCTGTGGGAAGATGGAGAGTGGAAATGCCAGCATTGCTCTGTACCTCCGATTCTGTGGGGCTGAGTGTATTTCCAGGATCCTTTCACGGGTTTATAAAAGTCTAATCTCTCAATATTGGAGAAATTTGATAATTTTTTTTCAATAAAATATGTAATGAATCATTTCCAGTTTGTTGAGGTCTCTCCATCTGTTACTGAGAAAATGGCCACTTGAGGGTGGGACACTGAAGATAACAGCTTTCTCTGTAATTTGTGGCAATTCAGGGGGTAAATTTGCCATATGAAATAGAGCACTGACATCAGATATTTCACTGATTTCTGAAAGAAAGAAAAAAATGGGTGCTAAAGACTTAATCTTTAAAAAAAGTGTGAAAACAATCTCTTTGTAACCCTTCATAAGTTCTTTATGCTGTTTTGTAATTTTAACAATAGGCTGTATGGTATTAATTTAATATTTCTGATAAATAGTGAATTTTTAAAAATTGCTTGTTTGAGTCCAGTTCTGATCCGTTCAACTGTTACCTCATCATCAGTGTTAGCTAGTTTGTTTTATTATACAATGTGAAATATTAGAGCACATTTACTATACATGCTCTAATTCTTTAATAGAATTGGCCTTTATGTATTATATTCTGTATCCATCTGAAATATTACATTTTAAAAGTATGTAATGCCATTTTTAAGATCCTCTATATTAGGATTTTAAAATATTTAGTCCATCTGCTACCATTATCCTCTTCCATGTCTAAGAAAGACATGGTTAATCCCTTTTTGCAGTTTTTTTCTTCACTGGTCCCAAATGTGGCTTTAGATTCCTCCTTAAGACTGGGCCATGCAGTCACTACCTGTGATATACCCATTTGCTATCCTGGCCCTATAAAATCTAGATAATAACAAAAAAAAACTTGTACTCACATCTGATCTAATAGTCTTTTATGATTTAATACAGAGAGTTTTATCTTTGATGATGGAATTCACCCTAGGACGAAAAAGAACCCGTCTAGTACAAGTAGTTTAGTTTCTGAATTTGAAGAAAAAGAAAGTGGATCTATATCTCTACAAGATACTCCTTCTCAAGCTCTTCTGAGAATATACCTTGAAAAGAAACAGGATGCTGATGAAAGTCTGACATTGCATTTCTCAACATGGGGAGAATTTTTAAGATCTTACATAACCTTTATTTTGAAAGTAGCAATTCACCAACTTCTTGGAGAGCCATTTACAGAGAGTCCAGATGATATAAATTTCTACAACATCACAGAAGTGGTGTTTGATGGGTTTTTTGAGCCCCTACCTGGCAAGGATGTTTTGTTAAGTGAAACAGTTCAAATCACAAGTGAAAAATCAGAAGAGATGTTAGAACAACCAAGTTTGCAAGGTGAGAGCATCGGACCAGAAAGCAGGGCTCATTGGTGTGTTTCTCACAAAACTTATGACATCGGCAATAGAAAGGAGTTTGAAAGATTTAAGAAATTTATAAAAGGTACATTAGGAGAGAGATATTGCTTGCTATGGATGGATATTGAAAGGTTAAAAGTTCTTAAGGACCCTGGAAGACATCAAAGGTATTTCTATTTTTTATTTTTCAAAGCTTTTAAACAAATTATTGAATATAAGCTTGGGTCATTTAAGCACAGGCAGAAAGCCTGAAATAAATGTAAAAATGTAATTTATGCCTTTAGAGGAGTGAATAGTATTATGATATATATTATGATAATATTGATTTCACTAGTTTGCTAGTGAAATGGTTGCTAATAGTAGCAATTATTTGGGTTTGCATAATATTTCTTCCCATAGATTCTAAACCTCCTTTCAAGTTAATCATTCTATTTTATTTTTATAATATCCAGTGAAGTACTTTTATATAAAAATAATTTATCATTTATATAACCACACTGGTGTAAGATACCTTATTTAAAAGATACCTTATGCCAGTGTAGGGCCTGCTTTTCCTAGCAGCCTGTTAACAAATTCCATGGTCTTTATCGGATGCCATTTAGTTATTCATATCTGAATGAGATCTGCTACATATCATCCTGGATATCCTCTAGAGAACCTTTTAGAGGTCTGGTGGGGTGAAGGTCTTTGTGTGGCTGCTTCATATGTTTTAGATAAGGGGCCTTAAGACGACCCTGCTTTAGAAAGTCCTTATCTTTGTAGTCATCTCCTGATGTGCTCTAACACGTGCCAACTATGTATATTGCAATTCTCATTAAGGGTTTGACTGAGTACATACTAATGACTGGATTATTCCACTTCTTTCAGTGGAACCCAGATTACAGAGCTCATTTCTGTACACACTTCTAAGAGCAGGGGTTACCAAAGGTTTGATTATGAAGCATGACCTGATTAATCATGGGGTGGAAGACCATTAGTATTTTTCAAGACATATTAGGCAAGTTATATGCAAACGACCTCCACAGGTTCTTTAAGGGGCAATACTGTATTGGTTCCTATTGTTCCTGTAACAAATTATCACAAACTTAGTGATTATTAAAGCAAAGCAAATTTATTCTCTTACAGTTAGGGGGGGATAGAAGTCTAAAATGGGAATGCAGGGCTCCTTTCCTTCTGCAGGCTTTAGGAAAGGATCCATTTTCTTGATCTTTCCCAACTTCTGGAGGCTGCCAACTTTCCTTGGTTTGTGGCCCTTCTCCCATCTTCAAAGCAGTGTCAACAAAAGGGCATCTTCTCTCCTCTCTGCCCCCTGCTTCTATCTCACATCTTTTCTCTGTGATCTGAACCTCCTTCCTCCTTAGAAGAAACCTTGTAATTTTAGGGCCACCTGGGTAATCCAGGATAATCTCTTTAAAATCCTAATCACATCTGCAGAATCTCACCATGTAAGGTTTCATTCATAGGTTCTGGAGATTCGGACATGGACATCTTTGCAAGGCCATTGTGCAACCTACCAAAACACCCTTCCATTCCCATAACTGAGAGAAAGATTTGTATCTCCACATTGGTACTCCTGCAATTCAGTGTTGGTTTTGAGATAGTTCATTACTTGTCTGAACCATTTTAGAAGCAGAAACATTTGGCTAGCTGAATATTGTATCAATGTGTGTGTATACATGTATATGTGTTTTATTTCAGACATCTTGAGAAGATGAAAAAATGCTATCTAGTGAGCAATGGAGATTGCTACCTTTCTGCAGAAATCTTATCAAAATTTAAACTGTTGGATGCATCTCAGTGGAATGAAGAACACTTAAAAAATATTCAGACTGAGGTTTTAAAACCCTTACTTCTGTATTGGTAAGGAGAATACTGTGAATCAAAGTTTTTTGGTTTCACTTTTCTTAGTTACGAGTTATACTTTTGTCTTAGGGACGTATTTATGAAAATTTAAAATGCAAGATTACTAAATCTTTGCTCTTCTTTAACGTACTTAGCCTTTAGATAATTTGGATGTCTTTAAATCCATAAATAAGGTTGGACAGTACTTAAGATTCATTTTAACTTTGTGAGCACATTCTACACCTGTCCCTTTTATGGTCAGTATCTCACCAAATTGTGTGTGTGTGTGTGTGTGTACATCTAGCTAGAGTTACAGATTTATCATTTCAATAAACATTTTTTGAGCACTTACTATAGGCTAAGAGCTTTGCTAAGGATACAAGGGTGAAAAATGGTCAAGTCCAGTGGTTGTAGTCTATAGGAGGAACATACATGTGATATGAATGTAATAAAAGAAAGCATGGTGAATGCACAGGATTCAGAGGAGAGGATACTTCACTTGGGACTCAAGGGGTTCTAAACAAGGAAATGAGAATGGGTGTAGTAAAGAAAATGTGTGCCATTTGAGGATCAGTGAGCTGCCCATTGTGGCTCTGATGGGTCTTATTATGTCACTTTTCTGCTTTAAATTTTCACTGGTTATCCTAAATCTTTCAGTGTGAAGTTCAGATCCTTTAAATTAGCAGATAATGTTGTCATGATTTGTCCTTTGCCCCGTTCTCTGGCATCATCTCCCATCCAGGTATCCCAGATTATTTAAATGCTTTGTACTTCTCCATATATGGATAGAATGTTTTATTCTATTTTTTTCTTTAAAAAATTCTATTCTTAAATATTTAAGATGTACAGAAAGATATAAAGTATTCTGTAGTGGGCACCTATGTACACACCATCCAACTTAATGAGGTATTATTAATATAATAGAAGCTTTCCTTTTTTAAAATTTAACTCCTCTTTTGGGATAATTGTAGACTCACATGCGGTTCTAAAATATAATACACAGACATTCTTTGTACCTTTCACCTAGTTTCCCCTAGTTGTGACATTTTGCTTAACTCTAGTACACATATCGTGAGGGAATTGACATAGATACAACTCACCTATCTTTTTTCTACTTTACCAGGTTTACATGCATTTATCTGTGTCTGTGTATAGGTAGTTCAATGCAATTTTATCACATTTGAGAGCCATGCATTTGCCACTATACTCAAGATACAGAACACTTAAATTACCACAATTATCCCCTGTGCTGCCCTTTTATAACCACACCCCCTTATTCTGAACCTCTTTCCCCCCATTTCTAACTTCTGGAAACCACTAATCTATTGCATAAATAAAATAATACAGTAGGTAATCTTTTGGGATTATCTTTTGATACAGCATAATTCCCTTGAGATCCATCTGAGATGTGTGTATCAGTAGTTCTTTCTGATTGCTGAGTAGTGTTCTTTTTGCAGATGTTACATTTCTATTCATCCATTCACCCATTGGAAGACATTAGGGTTGTTTCTAGTCTTTTGATATTACTAATAAAGCTGCTGTGAACACTCATGCACAGGTATCTGCTTGACTCTAAATCTTCATTTTTCTGAAATAAATGTCCAGGATTGAGATTAGTAGGTCATGTAGTAAGTCTGTTTTTAGTTTTAAAAGAAGCCACCCATCTATTTTCCAGAGTTGATGTATCATTTTATATTTCTACCAGCAATGTATGAATAATCCAGTTTCTTTGCATCCTTGCCATTTTTTAGTGTTGTCACAACTTTCTTTCTTAGCTTTTTTAATAGGAGTGTAGTGATTTCTCATTGTGATTTTCCACAGTTCTCTAATGGTTAATGATGCTGAACATCTTTTCATGTGCGATTTGCCATGTGCATATCCTTTTCAGTGAAATATCTGTTCATGTCTTTTGCCCATTTTCAAACTGGATTTTCTTTCTTACTGTTGAGTTTTAGAATTCTTTTTATATTCCAGGTACTAGTCTTTAGTCAGATAGTTAGTTCACAAATATTTTCTCCCAGTCTTCAGTTTGTCTTTTGTTTTTATTAAGGTATCACTGATACACTATCTTATGAAGGCTTCACATGAGCACAAATATTTTCTCCCAGTCTTCAGTTTGTCTTTTGTTTTTATTAAGGTATCACTGATACACTATCTTATGAAGGCTTCACATGAGCAACGTTGTGATTACTACATTCACCCATATTATTAAGTCCTCCCCCACACACCCCATTGCAGTCACTGTCCGTCAGCATACTAGGATGCTATGGAGTCACTACTTGTCTTCTCTGTGCTATACTGCCTTCCCTGTAACCCCCCTATATTATGTGTGCTAATCATAATGCTCCTCAATCCCCTTTTCCTTCCCTTGCCACCCACTCTCTCCACCCCATTTCCCTTTGGTAACCACTAATCCCTTCTTGGTGTCTGAGTCTGCTGCTGTTGTGTTCCCTCAGTTTTGTTTTGTTGTTTTACTCCACAAATGAATGAAATCATTTGGTACTTATATTTCTTCACCTGGCTTATTTCACTGAGCATAATACCCTCCAGCTCCATGTACGTCATCCAAATGGTAGGATTTCTTTTCTTCTTATGGCTGAATAACATTCCACTGTGTAAAGGTACCACATCTTCTTTATCCATTCATCTATTGATGGACAATTAGGTTAAGTCCGTATCTTGGCTATTGTAAATAGTGTTGCGATAAACATAAGGGTGCATATGTCTGCTTGAATCAGGGATCTTGTTTTCTTCTAGTAAATTCCTAGGAGTGGAATTCCTGGGTCAAATGGTATGTCTATTTTTAGTTTTTTGAGGAACCTCCATATTGTTTTCCACAATGCTTGAATTTACATTCCTGCCAGCCGTGTAGGAGGGTTCCCCTTTCTCCACATTCTCTCCAGCATTTGTTGTTGTTTCTCTTTTGGATGGTGGCCATCCTAACTGGTGTGAAGTGATATCTCATTGTGGTTTCAATTTGCATTTCTCTGATTAGTGGCAATGTGGAGCATCTTTTCTGTGTCTGTTGGCCATCTGAATTTCTTTTTTGGAGAAGTGTCTGTTCAGATCCTCTGCCCATTTTTTAGTTGGGTTATTTGCTTTTTGGGTGTTGAGGTGTGTGAGCTCTTTGTATATTTTGGATGTTAACCCCTTATCAGATGAGTCATTTACAAATATGTTCTCCATACTGTAGGATGCCTTTTTGTTTTAATGATGGTGTCCTTTGCTGTCCGGAAACTGTTTAGTTTGAAGTAGTCCCACTTGTTCATTTTTGCTTTTGTTTCTGTTGCCCGAGGAGATGTGTTCATGAAAAAGTTGCTCATGTTGATATTCAAGAGAGTTTTGCCTATGTTTTCTGCTATGAGTTTTATGGTTTCATGATTTACATTCAGGTCTTCAATCCATTTTGAGTTTACTTTTGTGTATGGAGTTAGACAATAATCCAGTTTCATTCTCTTACATGTAGCTGTCCAGTTTCTCCAACATGAGTTGTTGAAGAGGCTGTCATTTCCCCATTGTATATGGATGGCTCCTTATCCTATATTAATGGGTCATCTATGTGTGGGTTTATATCTGGTCTCTCTATTCTGTGCCATTGATCTATGGCTCTGTTCTTGTGCCAGAACCAAAGGGTCTTGATTACTGTGGCTTTGTAGTAGAGCTTGAAGTTGGGGAGTGTAACCCCCCAGCTTTATTCTTCCTTCTCAGGATTGCTTTGGTTATAAGGGGTCTTTGTGGTGCCATATTAATTTTAGAACTATTTGTTCTAGTTCATTGAAGAACTCTGTTGGTATTTTGATAGGGATTGCATTGAACCTGTAGACTGCTTTAGGTATTATGGCCATTTTGACAATATTAATTCCTCTTATCCATGAGCATGGGTTGTATTTCCATTTATTGCTGTCTTCTTTAATTTCTCTCATGCGTGTCTTGTACTTTTCATGGTATAGGTCTTTCACCTCCCTGGTTAGGTTTATTCCTAGATATTTTATTCTTTTGAATACAATGTAAATGGAATTCTTTTCCTGATTTCTCTTTCTGCTAGTTCACATTAGTATATAGGAATGCAGCAGATTTATGTGTATTAATTTTGTATCCTGCAACTTTGCTGAATTCAGTTATTAGTTATAGTAGTTTTGGAGTGGATTCTTTAGAGTTTTTTTATGTACAGTATCATGTTATCTACAAACAGTGACAGCTTAACTTGTTCCTTACCAGTCTGGATGCCTTTTATTACTTTGTGTTGTCTGATTGCCATGGCTAGGACCTCCAGTACTATGTTGAATAAATGTGTGCTTGTCATATATAGCCTTTATTGTGTTGAGGTACTTGCCCTCTATACCCATTTTGTTGAGAATTTTTCTCATGAAAGGTTGTTGAATTTTGTCAAATACTTTTTCAGAAGCTATTGAGATGATTATGTGATTTTTGTCCTTCTTGTTGATGCAGTGTATGATATTGACGGATTTTCAAATGTTCCATCATTGCATCCCTGGAATGAATGCCACTTGATCATGATGGATGATCTTTTTGATGTATTTTTTAATTCAATTTCCTAATATTTTCTTGAGTATTTTTGCATCTGTGTTCATCAGGGATATTGGTCTGTAGTGTTCTTTTTTTGTGGTGTCTTTGCCTGGTTTTGGTATTAGAGTGATGCTGGCTCCATAGAATGATTTTGGAAGTATTCCCTCCTCTACTTTTTGGGAAACTTTAAGGAGAATGGGTATTAGGTCTTCACTAAATGTTTGATAAAATTCAGCGGTGAAACCATCTGGTACAGGTATTTTTTCTGAGGTAGTTTTGTGATTACCAGTTCAATTTCATTGCTGGTAATTGGTCTGTTCAGATTTTCTGTTTCTTCCTGGATCTGCCTTGTAATGTATCTTTCTAGTAAGTTGTCCATCTCTTCTAGGTTATCCAACTGTTAGCATATAATTTTTCATAATATTCTGTAATAATTATTTGTTTTTCTATGGTGTCCATAGTGATTTTTCCTTTCTCATTTGTGATTCTGT